TTAAAAAAAAAAAGTTCCCATAAAAAATAATTATATCATAGAAAATTCATTGTGTAATTGAACAAATTTCTATAATGAAGTCCGATTTTCTATACAAAAATAAAGTAACAACTTCCAAATTTTAAGAAAATCAATTAATGTTGGTCCATTTTTGCTAAGAAAATAATAAATAAATAAATTGTAGTTAATGAAAAATAATTAATGATGAGAGAATTTGACCATATCTGTTTTTAAAAATCGTAACAGAAAAACAAATATAAATAAAAACTGTATAATACGGAAATAGTAATGACAATAAATGCTGTTGACTTTTCTAGCTACTAAATTTAGTAAATAGGACTCCCTTTAATATAAGTATAGATGCACATAATAATCACTATTTCGAAATTAATAAGAATAATGTGATTTTTAGAGTATGTTTGTCTTATATGCATAAGTGCATAAAAAATACCATATCAATATTAGTAAACCAATGCTAAGGGGAAGACAAGAAAAATAAAATAGAATTTTGCCAATTTGCCATCTATTGAAATAATACCTTTTCTAACTAATATTCTCTGCTCCCATGGTATTTCACAATTTTTTTCAATTTACAAAAAAGAATGACCTTCTATTATGGGAGAAAAAAAAAGTCATGGCTTTTTACACATTGTCCATATAATAATATATAGTATCAATTAAAAACCCATTAACCAGGCAACGTTATGTACAAGCTGCCACAAGCATTATATATGTTGTTTTATTTCATGATAAAAACATTGCACGCTCCAAATAATCAAATTAATGAGACAGTCTTAAGTTCCAATCTTTCACCAATGAAATTGAGACAAAATTATTCACTATTTACATCATTTCTTACTTTGTTGATCCGAGTTTCATTGGCCTAGCTAGTTTTGTTTCTTAATTTAAGAAATAAAGAAAAAAACACAATCAATAATAAAAAAATCGAGCATATGTAGTAATTTTTCCTAATTTGCAATTGGTGAGGAAGTATCTAGTAATTAATAGAAATCGAGCATAATAT